TTCCTGACATCAAAGGCCTCAGATATCTACCTGGATCAGGGCAGGAAAATGACTGTGATACAAGGAGGAGGGACAGTTCAGATCAATTAACCCCTGAACTAAGCTCTCCCGTGGGGAGATGAGCATTTACATTCAGAAGCCCTGTTCTGCTGTCACAAGATCAGAGCAAGCCCCCTAGACTGTGATGATGATTTGCATTACAGTAGCACCTAACAGGGGTCACCAAGCTGACAGCTTCCTTGTGCGAGGTACTGCATTGATGCATTGTGGGAGAGTCCCTTGCACTGAAGACTCTTATCCAGAGAGACAGGCCAAAGGGTGTGGGATGGAGATACTAGTACTCCAGTTTATAGATGGAGAAGTGAGATGCAGAGGCACTGACTTGCCCAAAGTCACACAGAAAAATCTATGGCCAAGCCTAAAATTGGACCCAGATGTGCCAAGTCCTAGCAAAAGTCTTATTTATGCCTTGCCTGGGAAGAGCTAGGATGTGAGCAGACAACAAGCATGCAGAGTTTAATACTGCTCCTGCACACCCGACACAGCCTCCACATCAATCATTACCCATGACAGGCGCCATTCCACAGCTGGCGTAACCGATGAGAACTACGCATCAGGTAAAGAAATGAGATGCATCTGCAGAGCCAAATGGGGCGTTGGACCCCAGGGGCTGAGCTGCAGGATAGGATGGTTTTAGAGCCTGTTGCCGCACTGCGTGGGTGTGGATTGCACAGCTCCCGTGCAGTCTATTCATCACCTCCAACCAGAGCTATTAGTCCTTTACTTGCACGAGCACAACAGTGACAATGTCCTTTTATCTAGATTTCCCGCTGTGCTCAGATACACTGGGGCTAGTGTAGTTAAAAAATTATGCTTACTGATTCATATTAAAGTGGATGCAGCTGCCAGGCCATGTCGAAGATAGGAGAGCAACATGGCATGCTGTTCATCCCTGATCATTTAACTCTCTGCTCACTGACAGCAGGAAACAGGACATGCATGTATCTGTGTGCATGTACACTGTAACGGGAGGCCTGTGGCCCCATTACAGAGAAGGGGAAAGGAGGGTGCCTATGCTTTGAAGCCTGCAGGCATGGATCTGGCCCCAGCCCCTCTCCTGGGTACATAAGCAGGATGAGTTAGTCATTTGCCCTTGGGGCAGATGGAGTGAGGAGTCAGTACCTAAGCCTGGAGTGGGACTGGATGGGGTACAAGGGCTATTAGAGGGCTGCACTGGGTGGGATGAATGCTGGGGAAGGTTGCTAAGAACAGCAGTCCTGTGGATGTGGACTACCTCACTTGAGATGGTTGAAGGTTTGAGAGTGTTGGCAGATTTTGGGAGCCACAAATGACTTAAGCTGTTAAAAGCTGAGAGGCATAGGGTGGCTGTAAGGGGACTAGGGAATGGGAGTTATCCAATGCTAGGCAGCTTGACTGGGGAAGGGTTGGCTGCTTGCACTGCTGGCCAGAGACAACGGCTCTTTAGGACAGTGGACTAGGACCCCTCTGATGTGAGAAGGGGTGGCATTTAGAGGGACTGCCCTCTAACCTGGACTGAGGGTCTATATTAATTTATCCCACTGAGGTGTAGAAGGGGAAATACTGGGTATCCAGGTGGCTGGAGAGGCAGTCAGGCAGTGGTGATGGAGCAAGACTAGGGTCTTACTGCATGAATTATCACCACAGATATATGTCATACCTGGTATAAGCATTTGAGATGTCCGGGAAGTGTTTCCTATATTGTAATAGTAACACACACTCCAGAGTGTTCCTGGGACAGCCTATGAAATGTCAGAGCTTGAAGAAAAGAGCAAGTCTAGTGGTGAGAGCAAAAAAAACCTGGGAACTGGGACTTCTAACACTTCCTCAGGTTTGCCACAAATTCAACATACACCTTTAAGCAAGCCACTTTACCTCTCTGGGGTTCAACCTTTTTCCCCATTGTAAATGGATAAATAAGGACACCAGTAGATTGAAAGCATTCAACTATTAATGTCCATAGATTCAGATCATTCAGCTGTTAATGTCCATAAACTGTTGGGGTGATTTTTGGGGGGAGGGGGAAGAGATAGGCAGAGAAGGCATTATTAATATAAACAAGAGGTCTTTACTTCTGCACATTATAGGTACCACCCCTCTTCCTTGGAACAGGAATAGCATCCAACTATTTGCCCTGGGAATAGCATCCACCTATTACTTTATTTTGCTTCCATAGTATACTTGCAAGCACTTCTGTTTATTTAGCACAGTTGACCCAGACACATCAATCATTCCTACAAATGTTAGCATCCCTCCAAGTAGGTAAGTACAACGACCTACACTTTATGGTTGGGGAAACTGAGGCAGAGAAGGATGAAGTAACTTGCCCGAGGCAATGCAGAGACTTGGTGGTAGAGCCATAAATATACCCATAGGGGTCCTGATTCCAGCTTCTCTGTGGAATTAGCCAAGGCTCCATCATTAAAACCACATGAAAAACTACCAGTGAAGGACTAAAGGCAACACAGCACATATGGAAACACAAAGGAAGATGCCCTGAGCAATCCCTCTTGGTAACCCCAGTGCATTTCAGCATCTCTGTTCAGAGTCAGCCCAGATGCCCCCCACCTCCCATTCTCCTACCTTTTTTGGACAGGTGTCGCCATGTCACGGTAGGCTCTGGTCTCCCAAAGGCCAAGCACATGAGGGTTACACTGCTGCCTTCATTCACGGTGATGTCTGATGAGATGTTTATGATCTGAGGGGGTACTAGAACAAGAGAGAGAGAGAGAATTAGGAGAAATGCCTGAGCTTGAGGAACACATTACTGGCATCTGCCACACTTGGTAGTCTCCATCCTTTTGCTATGGGACCACACACCTGAAGTAGCTCAGTACTGAATTATTCATGCTGGTTATGGGCTCCTCTTTGAGTGCTGCTCCCACACAGGAAATACAGCATCAATCAAGGCATGTTTGAAACCCCTGGGATATCCCATCCTCCCAAGAGACAGCACACTCTCTTCCCAAGTTTCCCTCCTTTCTAAGGGAGATGGTGCACAGCTAGTGCAGGAGGAACATTTGACTTCCTGGCACCTCCTGCAATTGGAAATGCTCTAGAGGTAACTCTCTTTTTACCTTTACTTCTCAGCAAAGTTTTACAAGCAGGAGACAACTGAGGGTCAGTTCACTATTAAAACACATGCCCCTGCTGTCGAGAGGAGCCTTGTATGACTTCACGGTATTAGCTTAAACAATTGACACCAGCCTGGGCTCATCACATAGGTGAAAAAGTATGTGTTACACGTATCGTGGGTGAGCTCAGATCAAAACACCAGATTTCACCACCTTGTGGAACTTCACAAGGTAGCTCTACTGTGAAATGAAGGAGTGATTATAGCATACACTAGCATGCCTCTAGCTTAACCTGGCTAGCACCGTTAACAAATAGCAGTGAAGATGCAGTGGCATGGGGTCAGGCATGTGCTAGCAGCCAGTATCCAAACTCTGGGGCCCCTGGGGACATGCTCCACCTGTGAGTGGGTGCTGGAGTCTGTGCCATTGAGTTTTTCAGATTTGCACTGATGCTTCACAGCTGGGACCAGAACCAGGCACTTAGTAATTTCTCACTGACAAGAGAAATAATCCCCTAGGTGCTATTACGGCCAGAACTAAGATCCACTGAAGTCACCCGAATTCCTACTGGTTTTGGATGGGGCCCTTTAGTTAACTGCCTTGTGGTAGGGTTTCATAGTACCCAAAAGTATTCTGCATGGCTTAGCCATATGGGGAGACAGGCTCCTACCCAACAAGATTCACAAGCTCCAAAAGAGGGGAAAGAAAAGGAAAAAAAAAAATTGTAGGGGGAAGGGGTAAAAAGAAGGAAGGGATGGTAGGAATACTTTCCCTTATTCTTAACCCCCTGCTTTCTTTCCCCCATGTAAACTGGAATTTAAGAAAATCCTTGGCCCATTTGCTTTTGGAGCCATTCCTACTGTTTGTGACCCTTGTTCATTTAACCTGTTGCTGTTGGTAGCTGGCTTGATTTTTATCCTAGGCAGGTGGCCTTTACAGCTGATGAATTGCTTTATTTTTAGACAGCTGGGTTGTACTTCTGTCCATGAACAGAGTGCGGTCCTGCCTGCAGTTCAGGATCTCAGCTCTGCAGTACCTTCATGCAAACTTGCATGTGAAATGGCTCCCCTGCAGTACCCTCTCTCATGCACAACTTGAATGTGAGATTGGCATGGCTCTCCTGTCCCCAAAGAGCAGAAATGCAAAGGTTTTCCTGGGCCCTCCACAACCCACACCCACCCCAGGTGCTCAGAAAGGCCAAAAGGTCCCATATGTTTCAACTGTTTTATTTAACTCATGCACAAGGGTGACTCTGGATGATAGGGGGAATTTTAGACCCTGGCTGCTTTCCAGCCTGCTTGGATTTTCTATTTTATTTCAGTGTCAAGACCCAGCTGGGATCCTGGCAGCTGAAGGCTAGGCACAGACATTCAAAAACCCAGGACAGAATTGATTTAAGGTACACCATTTTTTGTTAGCAGCGTAATTTAGATCGGTAGCGAACAGAACACACATTTGCCCTTTGGTGGTGGTGGTGGGAGCAAATCTTAGCTTGGGTTTTGCCATTTTTAAACCAGTCCACGTGTGCCAAACTTCTGTTTGGTTACAGGTATAGACCAGCTTCTGATCACTTATACTGGTAAAAGTGTAATGTCTGTACCTAGCTTAAAAGTCTTGAAGCAGAAAGGCTCCCCGCCCCCACAAACCCAGGGTTAGGCTGGAGGTCTCCCCTGCTGACCCAAGATCTGACCTGCCTCAACAACTTGGTTGTTTCCTGCTGTCTTGCTCTCAGCACCCAGCGCCCTCAAAGTGATTTTGCCACCTAAGAACAAACTCACGCTTCACCCTCCAAAAGCAGACACATGCACCCAAGCCAGCTCTTCTGCTTCCAGAGGCTCCTCGCTCAGCGTGAAACTCATCTCTGGTTTCCCACTTCAAGAAGCACTAGCTTAAGCCTCCTACCAAGTGAGATCTATCACTAATTTGCTCTTAGCAGAGGGGATGAAGGTGAAGCCTTCTTAGAGAGATATATGTTTCCTGAATAATCTGCCCCTCTGGCCTCATGTCAATTTGGATAGTTGATTTTTGCCTTTCTGGCCCAAGTGGCCTTGGTGCTTGACTTCTGCATTGGTCCAGTTTTGTTACAGGACAATTCAAATAAATAAATGAACCTGAGTTTCACCAGGACAGAAACTGGGGAGAGAAGATAGGAATCAGAGGCAATTTCAGAGCTCTGTCTCACTACAGGCAAGTCACAACGACCCTGACTGGGTGCCTGTGCTCAAAATGCACCCGATTTTCAGAGGGGCTGACATTGTGCAGCTGCGGCTGATCAGCAGCTTTGCAAATCAGACCCAGAACAACTGAAATGACCAACCAAATACCAAAGCACTTAACACCAGAGGCTTCTTTGAAAACGGAGGCTGTGAGCCAGCTTCAGGGGTTTCACACCTGGAAGCTGGACCCTCAAAATCATGAGACTGGCTTGAAAATATATATATAGATATTTCTAATGGTACATTTTGCCAGCTGGCTTCTGAAGCCTCAATGGGTGCTTACAGATGTGGAAAAAACAAAAAAACCCAGCACTTTACTTTCACCTTGGCATGCCCCCGTGCCAAGTGCAGCCCAGAAGAGGAATCACATCGGTTTAGCCCAGCTTGCCTGGCGTCTATATAGCTCACGCGCTTCAGCACTGCTTTTTGGCACTTTTATCTAATAACTGATTAAATCAATCCAGCTATTAGATAAAAGCATTAAAAAGCCCTGCTGAAGCACATGAGCTACACAGATACTGGGGAGCCAGGTCAAACTGATGTGATTCCTCTTCTGGTAAACCACTGTTTGGGGTTTTTCTTTTTTCTACGTCTGTCCGCACCCAACATGCACACGTGGCTTTCTTTACCATAATGAAGAGCCAGGTTGGTGTTTTCTTATGAAAGCCAAGAAGAGTTTCTCACAAAAGCATTGGTCTCCACCCAGCTGGGTCTGTATGTAAAACTCAGGACGCGTGGAGACCCGTGATGCAACCACAAGGGTTGCAGCAATGCTTTCACGGCTTCAGTTTGCACGTCTATAAAATGGAGGGATGAACTTTTTTCCCCCCCCCTATCTTCAGAGGCAGCTGGGTGAACACGAACTCACTGAAGTGTGTAAGCAGCTTGGATACTACAGCAGCGAGGGCAAATACCTCGCTAGTCAGACAAGTAGGTTATTCAGAAAGCATTCAATCCAGAAAGCTTCATTGCATGGTGTTGTGAAGCAGTGGATGGTTAGAGGGAAGACTGCCAGCCAAACCGAGCTTCAATTCTGATGGGCTTTTTTTTTCTTTTTTTTAACTCTGCTCAACTGCGGGGAGCAGGAGGATGGAAGAGGCTTTTGCAATGTCTTGAAACCTTTAGGGAAAAAGATCTTTAGCTTTCAATCCTCATTCTACTGCTGGCAATATAAAGTGTGGCAGATTTAAAGGATGGTTGATGTCTCGCGGAAAGCTGAAAAACATCCTGTGAAGAAATTATTCTCCCCCCTCCTAAATTTTCTGCATTTCTCTTCGCTGCTTCTTTTATTACAAAGGACACTGGAGTGAAAACATGTTCTTCAAGGATTCATCTGTGTCTCTGCTGTTTGTTCTCCACCTGAAATAATAATCTCCTGTTTGTGCCTTCACAGTTGGTTGCTATGGAAGTGATTATGTCCTTGGTATCTTTCTCCCATCATAAAGCAAAGGAGGAAAAATCTAGTCGGAGGAGAGGGTGGCCTCCTCCAGAGCAGGTTTGCAGTCCATTGATGGAGCCATGGAAGATACTCAACATATCCCCATAGTTTTGTGGTTTTCACTTAAATGAAGATTATCTGGGATTACATGAGCATTCGTGGAAGATAAACGTCTGCTTAACCACAGGCAACAGCGATGCAGAGGGCGACAAATAAAGGAAGCGTAATGCAGCCCTTGGATAGCTCTAAGTGCAGAGTTCTTTGCAGCAGGGTCTGTCTCTTCCTTTACATATGTACAGAGACCCGTGCAATACAGCCCTGACTCTGGTTATTGTTTCCAGGTGCTAACGTCCAGTGAAGCTGGATGAATCTGCTGCTGCAAGCTGAAGAGATGGGTGTCCCTCGCAAATGTATGCCTAAAACCTACTCACTTGCACTGCAGCACCAGCAATTCTGCAAGAGCCGTGCTTAGATGCTGCATTATAATTGTGTCATGTTGGATCAGATCCTATTATATTTATGATTGCTTTTCTCTCCTCTGTTGTATTTTGTGGAGAGAGATGATGGGGAATGAGAACAAATGATTATGAATTACAAGCATATAAATACATGCCATGATACTGGTGACATCACAAACACTCCAGCTTTGCTCTGGTGGTTTATAATGATTGTTTCTAGAGCATCTCTGTGTGTTTATTTATAGCCTTAGTCACAGTTTCCCTCCTCTGAATGTGCCCAAGGCACATTCTGCTGCACTCTGAAGAAAGAGAGGTTACTTCTGACCCATCCTTCCCTTTTCCTCCTCTTTGGTTTTGTATCTCTGGACTTTGTAGTCCTGGAGACTGACATCCTCCATCCCCCTCCTCTCTCCACCCCCATAGATTTGCCATCTAGTGTGACTCACACCAAAGCTAGGAAGGGGATGCAAAATTCATTCTCTGGGGTTCATTTCCCTCTTCAGTGGGTGCATCTACACATGCA